TAAGCAGTGATATTCTTTTTTTGCAAAAATTATTACTCCGTCACATTCATTAAAACTGCCATCATTATAAAATAAATCATAACCACTCAACTGATATAAAGTAGTATCTAAATTTTTTCTTGTTTCGCTGATAACAAAGTCAAAATTCATATTGACCTGGTTTGGTAGGATTTTAAACTTGTCAAAGTTTTTATTTGCACTTCTAATGTTCATTTGTAAAATAGATATATGTTCTCGTTTTTTTTTGTATTCTTCAATAAATATGTTATAGTCTGGTAGATTGTCTAGTTCTTTCGTATTTGTTTGTTCGATTTTGAAATCTAGGAGATAATTATTCATTTTTATTTTAATTCAACACACTAAATAATTAAGACTAAAATTTTACATAAATACTATTAACAATAGGAGTTCGACCCTGACTAAAAATATGGAAACAATGTTTATCGTGGTCTCCACATTTTTTTAGTTATTTAGTGCGGATATAGACAGTCTTTTTTGTTGAAATTACGTGTGTACATTCATAAAACTGTAAGTGCATATTGTGATTAATTTCTAATTCCGTTTAGCGAATATACGTTAATTAATTAAATTTACAAATAATAACAAAGTCGTTATCAGTAAGCAGTTTCTTTCGTGTTGCCGGCCACATGCCAGCGGTATCTACGGACTGCCAGGGGCGTATCCAATTCATTGGGTACTTTAAATCTTTAAATTAATATGGAATCTAACAGTAATTCTCAAATATCTTCCCAAACTCAAAGTCAATCTAATACTTCAAAAATGTATTCTTCAGATGTGTCACAGACTCAATTCCCGTCCAAAGAACAAGCAATTGTTTTTAGTTCTCTAGACAATACTCGGCTGCAAGATTACCTAATTCCCCTTGGATCCCAAATTCAACCAAAGAATATCCTATTCTCTTCGCGATTATCCAACAACCGGATTTGTATGTACCTGACAAACAAGAAGATTGTTGACGAATTCATGGATAACAGCGGTTATATTGAGATAAAAGGTGAAATATTTAGAGCCAGAAGACCTATAACACCGGCTGTGAGACTCGTTCTGTCAAATGTTTGCCCCACTATACCACACAATTTAATAATAGAAGAATTACAGAAAGTTGATTTAAATCTAGTTTCAATTATTTCGGTATTTAGAAGGCTGGATATTATTTTTGTTTGTTTAATGTTTTGTTCTTCTATAATTTTTGTAACAATTTCAACGGTCAGACCTTCCATTGCTACCGAAATAATATATCTTGAAAACGTTGCTCTTTACTCTCAGACTATATTTTCTATTAAATCAGGTCTTAATTATAATAATTGCATTTAATTCGTATATTACTTATTGGAATGATCTAAATTTTTACTAGCTCTTAGATATAGTCCCAATTACTCACTGTGAAAAAAAACAGGTAAATTCAGCAACACAATTTTTCGGAGCACAAATCGATAATGTAGGTATACTTTATTTTTCAATATTGAAGTTTGAAAACTCAGGAGCAAACTTTGGATGTTGACAGAAAAGAATATGTTGCAACGATTTTATTTTCACTAGTCTTTCACATATTCTTCGATAAAAAGGCAGCCAGCTAAACATACTTTGGAGATCGAAATCACTAATTTATGGTGAGGCTGTAGAAAAAATATTATGTATAACGCAGAAAGTTTCATTGCTTCTCTTGATACACAATTCTATAGAGTATATAAAGCAACAAAATGTTATCTATTGTATCGAATGGTGTCCCAAAAAAAAATGGTAAATGTTCGAAATTAAGATATTATTTACCATCTTTACCATCTTGGACATGATATAATAAACCTTGTTGAAAAACAAATTAAAACCGCAATGGGATTTTTATGCGATAGAATGACCTCTTTTTATCAGCTCTATGATTTACATACAATTAAAAGGAAATAACAGTACCTATAATAATATATCTAACGACAGTAAAAGTAAATATACGCAATTAAGTAAAACATAATCAATAAACGAATAGATAAAAGATGTACTAAAATATATTAAAAAGTAAGTAACATACTTGATCGCCCTGTATTTTTAAATTAAAGAAAATATTTAGATTGGAGTACTTCTAAATGTGTTGAACAAAAGAAAGTCGTTACAATAAAAATACAGTGCAGTTATTTATTAGTTTTCATTATTGGCTTTTACACATTATGGGCTGCATAATAAACGATATACAAATAAAAAAACATTGTGTACAGTCATTCGGTTTAAATTAAATATTTGTAAAATATATTTTTAAGTTCGGATAAAGCAACGTCTTCAAAATTATTTCACTTCTGAGGTCATCGGCCACAGATAAACTCCAGTAAATTGGGAAATTACTTGTTTTTAGATAAGCAATTCCTGCGTATCTGAAAAAATCACCACAATGCTTTCAAAATTATCAACTCGTAAAGCCTCAGATTTTTGTTTATTTATTATTTAATCATCTTGTAAATAATTTATCTAAGAATGTCTAGAAATTGAACTACTAATCTATGCGGCATATCTAGACACATTAAAAAGTGATTAAAAGATTGTTAAATCTGATTCATATTAATACATCTTTTAGCAGATACAATTAATTATGTTTTGTGAATATTTTAAACATTGGTTGGGACCAATAGATCCACAAAGAAATTTTATATCGTATCGTATGTACCAATAGTTTTGGCATAAAATTTAGGGGTCTAAAAATATGTAAACAAAAGTTGTTTGTTTTATTGACATTGGCAAGTCGTTTTACTTTCCTATCTGTATACAGATAAGGAAAAGATAGGAATCATGTTTTTTTCGACTTTGGGGTCCCCGAATCCGTTTTGAGAAAATTTGAGAAACAGTGTAAAATTAATTTTTTTTAGTATTTTCGTTGGCAATGAATATATATGTGTGGAACATGTATATATTTAGTTTATTCTCTAAACATTTACAGAGGTGATACAATAGGTTGCACAAAATAACCGGAAAAAGCCTGTAATAAGTAGATAGGAAAGTCATGTGTTGGGCACTTTTTATGTTAGTTGCATTAAAATGACTTAGAAAGTCAGAAATAAGAAAAAGCATTAGATCCCTAAGCTTGAAATAGTTCGCATTTTTTAAAACCAAAATATTTCTGACATAATTATTGACCGTGCTATAGCCGAATGTCTAAATCTCCAAAAATTGTAACACCAATAATTTTTATCCGAGAAAGAGCAGAAAGATTGGTAATAAGAGCAAAACACAGAATCGGGGTTTCGTTAAGACAATTACCACGCGAATTATTAGCAAGATTCCGGCATCAATTGTTCTGGACAATGAAAATAGTAGTTTGTGGAACAAGAGTGGAAGAGGTACACTAACGAAAATCTACACATTTTAAATTTAGGTTATTAAGACAAAATAACTAATTTTAAAATAATTTATGACTTTTACTAATTTATAAAATAAACATGAAAAAAAAAAGATTTAATTTAATTAGCCCCCAGCCTAGATTTGAACTCGGGCCTCTCGCATGAAATCCAGATGCCCTAATCTTTGCTATTATTTATCGATTAAACACGAGAATAACTCATTTTAATGTGTATATAATCTCAATAACTAAAAAATATAGGTACTGACAATTAGTATTTTTCTACCCCCACATGGATATTAGCTTATCTACACACATACTACAAAACGAAAAACTAAGCTATTTTGTTCAACTGAACGAATAAATTTCATAACCATTCTACCTAGTAAGAACATGGCAAAAAAATGAAATCCACCAATCACAGTTCATATTTTGGTCACCCGACTACTATTTTTTTTTATTTATTTATTTATTTATTTTAAATAAATGACAATTCGGACTAACTAATAAGTAGGTATATTTTTTAGTTAGAGTATAAAATGAGTTTTCCTACGACCACTTAGGAAAGTGACACATATCACACTATATACTCCTATGGAAAGTGCCCTATATCACACGCGTATGAATAAGAATTTACTTTCGACCCGTGTACGAATATGCTACTTTCCGCAGCAGCTGTCACAAAATGTCAAACAAATCATTTCTATTTTGATCTTTGTAATGTCCATATTAATACTAAAATCGATATGATTGTTAAATTATTGAAATTGTTGTAAATTAGATCCTAGATATTTATCTTTAACAATTATTATTAAAATAATTTTAAAATAACTAAGATATGTTTGCTCTTTCTTCTGGTTAAACACATAACCGATTAGATCATTCAATTTACGCAAGGCCTATTAGCTCAGATGGTTAGGGCGTCAAACTTATCAACTTTGCCATTTGAGACCTGGCGAGCGACCGCCTTCAAATCCTGGCGGGGCCAGAATTTTTTTTGTTTTTTTTTGTTTCTTTTTGTTTTTAATTTTTTTTTTGTTTATAAAATATGAAAATTGAATAAATATGATTATTTTTTTAAATACTTTCCACACTCGTTATGTTCTACACACTCTATATTCTTGTGTAGTGTATAGTGTGAAATTTTTGATAATCTTTTAAAAATAAATTGAAACTCAAATTTTTTATAATCTAGATTTTTCTCAGAAGCTCACACTTCTATCGCCGTCAAACTTGGAGATGAGAAACTCCGACAACTTATTTATAAAATATCATAACCATAATAACCATATTCAGTTTTGTTTACTAGAACTTTTCCAGGTTAACTAGGTAACAATATCCCATCGTACATTCCTTCCTTGACGTAGAAGAATTAATTACATCGTTTTAATACAAGTTAAAATCTAGACTAAGTGGACACAGCCAACCTTGATTCTATTATTTACAGCTTGTCATTCTACGATCGATGTCGTTGGGCCATCATCAGAAAGCAGTAGATCAGCTGACGAGACTTATATTACGATCGTAAATATAATATGAATAGTCGAATCTTTAATTATTTAATTTATAAATATTTTGGTAATTTCGCCTCTGCAACAACTAATTTCTCCATTCCTTCCTCACAATTCATGATTCTAAAATGAGTATTTCTTTGTTGCAGGTACAACCGAAAGAGTATGTCTGATTACAGGAAGCGTGGAAGCAATTTTACGCGTGGTAGAATTTATAATGACCAAAATCAGGGAAAAACCCGACCTAACGAAAACCATGGTTGATTCGGAAAACAAAATGCACGAAAGGGACAAGCAAGTGAAAATCCTAGTGCCAAATTCCACAGCCGGCATGATAATCGGCAAAGCTGGCAATTATATAAAACAAATCAAAGAAGCGAGCGGCTCGTACGTTCAGATCTCCCAAAAAGCCAAAGACATCAGTTTGCAAGAAAGATGTATCACTGTGATAGGGGAAAAGGAACAAAACAAGCAGGCCTGCATGATGATTATAAGTAAGTAAAAAATGCTGAAATTAAACATCGCTTTGCTTTTTATTCTTCAACTCGCCTTGATACTTAAAAAACGCTTGAAGAATTTCGAATAAGAAACATTTTAAATGTAATTTTAAACTTGCATTCATTTGAAATCACAGAATATACACGGTGGTCCAGTTTATATCTTCAGGATTTCAACAGATGCTAATTTATCCAAAAATAAAGGTACTTTGTCAACTGTGCTTACTTTTTGATGCACAGAGTTCAGGCATTCAGAAACGTGCACACTTCTTAGTTTTATTTTTTTTCTTTATAACATAGATATGAAAAAATTTTAGACAAGTTCAATTTTTAGTTAGTTTATTTTAAAAAAACTGAAAAGTTCACTAAAATCGGTCAAAGCTTTTTAGATATTAATATTTGGTAAAATCCTGGCGACTTAGTGGAGACTAGTTTCATAAAATTAGTAGGGACAAAACCGTAGGTAATAATCAAATTCAGATTTTTACGATTGTACTGTAGGGATAAGTTGTTTTTTAAAACATTGTTCGTTCAGGATGAAACCTGTTTACAGTATTACAGTTACAGAATAGGTTAAAAGAAAGTTTCATCATTCAATAGAATGTGTCTAGTAAACACTCATTAGTACGACCCTTGTAGAAATAATGCAATTAGTTACAAATAATATCTTTCAATATAGTCCGTCAGATAGTGACAGGTTTAGGTGCCCCGAGAACCCGATTTGGGCCAGTTCTGACTCTTATTTACAAAGTTCTTTAATCTTCCAAAACCCGTCACAAAAAAAATGCATTTTTTGAATGCATTGGCTGCAGCAATGCAATTTCCGGTTTGTATAAGATAAAAAGTTAGGACATTTTTTCCAAAAAAATTTTGGAAGCGAATGCAAAAAACCGCTTTCTGATCAGTCTAAGTCTAAAAAATTCCGAACTTTTGGCCTTTTTAGTGCTTCATTGCCTCGACTAATATTTGCATTGTCAATAAAGATATGAAAAAATGTTTCTATAAAAATGTGTGGGATTTTTTTTTTTTAATCTTTACTTCATATTCTAAGCACTTTTTGATTAGATTGGCAGTTTTCAATACATTTCATAACTTGTTACTTTTTCATTTCAACCTTATTTTTTCTATCGAAAATTAGTTTCGTTTTTTAACCGACTTCAAAAAAGGAGGAGTTTCTCAATTCGTCGCGATATTTTTTTTTATGTATGTTCAGCGATAATTTTTCAACACGGTGTCCGATTTCAATGATTCTTTTTTTGTTAGAAAGGGGGTACTTCAGGGGTGGTCCCATATATATTTGGTCAAAATCTAATAATTGGGTCCATCAGAAAATCCTCAAACTCTTCATTATGTATGTTTAGCAATAATGCTTTACAACCTTGTCCGATTTATATGATTCTTTTTTGTTAGTAAGGGGGTACCTCAGGGGTGATCTAATTTAATTTCTAATACTTGTATTTCTCTGGTTACTTACATTTTAACAATATTGAATAAAACTTTGATTAAAATTCTTTGTTGTTGAAAATTTCAGTTCAATAAGCATGTGGGTTGGTTCCTTTCTGAAGGACTTCAATTTCTTGACCTACTTCCTACTTAGCCTTTCTTTATACGAGTAGATGTATCCTTTTATCATTTTACTTCATTTTACAAGATGTTCTTAAATGCCATGTCAATATTGAAGGAGGTAGATAATTTTGTGGCTTATTTTATGACTATAATTTCATAAAAACATGTGATATGTGTTTTTTACTAATGTCCCACATTGTTTTTGACGATTCTGATTGAACTTGGAAGGTTTGCTTGTAGTACTAAGATTATTTAAAGTGATTAGATAAAAGTCCAGTGGCGTCCCGGAGGGCAACATAATTTATATTTTTGAAAATCCTGTATCTTTAAAAATAGCAATTTATTTTTGTTTATATGAAATTTTAGCCATAAAAAACCAAGGAATTGCCTCCTCAATATTAACAGGTCATTTAAGAATGCTTTATATTTGATTTTTTTATTCGATTAATTTTTGTATGCTTTTATACTCTCCTAAAGTTTACATTCCAATAATTCTCTTCCTATTTGTTGTCATTGTCATCACTCTGGATACATTTTTAAATAAAACAGTTTAATAAACGTCACTGTAATTATGCTATCAAACTTTCGATTAAAGGAAAGTTTCAATTACAAATCTCAATTCGATTCGACTAAAATCCCTTTGATCATCAGGAATAGATACTTCAATCCATTATGGCTTTTAGGACGATAATGAATGACGCAATTTTAGCTTCTCTATTTGGGCAATCTGTTAGAACATTAGCATATATCCGTAAAGGCCGATCGAAGGTTATGTAGGTGGTGCACCTATTTTGTTTGGATTATTGGTTATTTGGGTATTTTAGGAAATTTTAGACAAATTAAAAACACAATAGTCCCTCATCTGATTGCGAAAAGTGGCACGTCGTGTTTTTTGCTTGATGTTTGTAAGTGCTTATCAATGGTTTTTCCCTTTTTGTTGCTGGCAATGAAAATATGCTTTTATAGCAACAAAAGAATCCCTTGGCGAGAATTTTTTGTCGTCCGGTTTTGCTACTTCAAATGTAGGAATTTCAGCAACATGACCGGATATTTACGTTTTCCAACGAAGCTCGGGATATAGCTTGAGCACGGTTTCTCTAACCCATTAGAATTTGAGAGCAATTAAACCACTTTCCCAACCTTCTATTTACCCTGGGTTTTCTAGAAGAAAATGTCAAAATAGCTTAATTTATGGCGAACTACTGAATAAAAAGTGCATGCAAGGGCAATACTCTTAGTTGAGTCATACAAACATTTTGAGAGCAATTAAACCACTTTTAGATTCTTGATTCGAATTTTACACCTATTTCAAGGTTTACATTTTTTTTTGCATATGTATCAATTCTTTCGCCGACACAAGAACAATTGAATCAGTCATTCCAAAAATGGCAGATTCTTATTGCTAACACCTCGGTGCACATTCTAACGAGAAATCCCATTAGTCGTAGCAAATAGTAAACCAATCTCGCAGTTTTAGAAAAAAAATCAGTGCTTTGTCTCACACACAGACGATTTAAGCAAGTTTTTTTTTAATGGGCCCGTTCACTTTTATTTTTGAATGTGAATTATTTATATATTTATAAAGATATTAAACTCTTTTGTCTGGTAGTACTTTTCCCGTTAAGATATTTTTGTTAGAAGTAAGGGAATTCCCATAAAATTCTTTCAGTGACTCGGTGCGTCAGAAAACCCCTAATTCCCTTTAGGTCTCGTATCGGTTAATAGTTAAAAGGGCGCGGTTGTCGGATGTATCATTGCACCACCATTCCTCTTCTGCATTTATTAAAGAAATTTACATGATAAAAATATATTATTTTTTAAAAATAATGTGTTGCTGGAAGCCCTACCTTTTTTAAATTTTAATAAAAACTCAAGCTGAATATTACCAGATCGAAATTTTATTTGAGAAAATGTATCTGGTAAACGTGACAACGTTGTAAGTACTTCTAAATAGTGTTGTCTACACACACTTCTAGAAATAAATGCAACGTTGCCACGTTTACCAGATAAATATTGCAAATCAAATTTCTACTTTTTGATTATGGTCTGGTTAATTTTCAGCCTGAGTAATAATAATTGTTTTAATTAAAAAGTAAAAAATAAGCTCCCAGCTTTAAATCTGAAAATATAAGTTCATGATTTTTAGAAAAATAATGGAATTTTACTATTTAAATTACATATATAAATGCAGAAATGCTATATTAGGGATACTTCCGACAACCCCGCCGTCTTTAAGCATAACCGATACGAGAAGTGAACGGAATTAGGGATTTTCTGACGCAATGAGTCACTGAAAGAATTTTATGGGAATTCCCTTACTTCTAGCAAAAATATCTTAACGGGAAAAGTACCACCAGACAAAAGAGTTTAATATCTTTATAAATATATAATTAATTCACATTCAAAAATGAAAGTGAACGGGCCCATTTCCCAAACTTTTACTTTTCTGACTTATGGTGTTTCTCATATTTATGTTTTCAAAATTTTTTCATTCTATATTTTTAATTTTCAGGTAAGATAGTGGAAGATCCGCAAAGCGGCACGTGCTTGAACGTGTCGTACGCGGACATCAACGGTCCCGTTGCTAACTTCAACCCCACGGGTTCGCCTTTCGCCAATCAACAATCCTCTAGCGCTTTCAATGCCTCTTCAACGAGCCTGAACGGCAGTTTGAGCACGGCGGTATCCCAAAGTCTCCTCCTCAATGGCGGCATCAATTTGAACCTGAATCTTGCCGGTGCGGGACAGAACATTACAAACGTGACTGCTCAGTTGTTAGATCACATCAAGGTGAGTTTATTATTTGATTTTGTCATATGATGTACGAAGCAGAGCCAAATAAAACGTTAAATAAAATTTATTGAAGGAATGTTACAAACAAATAACCTACAGTACGAACAGCTGAAACTTCCTAGGTCATATGCGCAGTGAAAAGTGAATTGAAGGGCGGAGCTCAGTTCGGTCTGGTTTTTCGAGGTGATTAGATTTTAATACATTATAGTCGAAGTTGTGCATTTTCAGACGTTGCCAAATATGGGTGCCATAAAACGCAGATGCAAGATAAAATAGCTTAAGGACAGCTTCGCATGAATATCACATAAAAGAAGAAAGATATGGAATCGGGGAATAGAAAAATGTTTCATCAACCTCTATGACGAAGTTTCGTTTAATAAATTATTTAGGGCACTCTTAAGGTTTTCATTCGACATTGCGTCGTAATAATATAGTTTAAAATTTATGTGAAAGGAGATATACGACAATAATTAATCATTATGATTGTGTTAGGTTTACATTTCGATTAACTGTTATATAGTAGAACTATAAAAATTAATAAAATTCAAAAAACAGCTACTTATTGGCAAATATCTCATATAGGAGTTAGTGCCATCCTAGACTAACCTACAAATTTTGTTCAAATGCAAAAGTAAATGTTACTCTTTTCCGCGCTATAACTTGTCCGTAAAGGTCTAATGAGTATTTAAGAAATGGACGAAATGACTTTTCCGCACTAATGCGGTAAAGTACACCTTGCTAAATTGAAATGCGTATGGAAAAGAAGCTCGTCAAAAAAAAATGAGTGTACTTCATCTTTGTTTAAATAGCAATGAGGGTCACCCGATACGTCAGTTGATGGGGCTTGAGATTCTGATTACAAAAATGTATTATACATTACACAATATATTGGTTACGCATTCATCTTTTATTTAATTATTTTATCTCTAAAACTAAATGCATTTAATTTAGACTTCATGCGTTATCGGATACCTTGTATATTTATTTTCCTAAATATATTACTGGTCCATCGTCCAAATAAAATAATTTCTAGTTGATAGCTTCGTAACATCGCTTTTTTTTTGAATTTTTTGCTATTTTTTGTTTTTCTACAAGATTTTTAACTTTTCCTCATATTATGTTAGAGAGCTTATTTCTACCTAAATAAAGCCTATCAACCTCTTGGGGATTATTTTTCTCTGATTTTCTCTTGGCATGGATTTCTTAGTCGCTTATATATATTGTTTTCTAGTATATCCGTCGTGATTTATCGTACCAAGGAATACAGCCTTAATAAATCCGACTTATAAAACAAGTAAAGTATTTGATAAAAAATTTTTGTAACACAAAGTTACTACTGTTTGAAGGATTATTATTGTTTGAGTTATACCTGACTGGCTGATTACTTTAATGAATTTAATTCAGCAAAATGATGCACTAGTCAAGTGAGTGATATCGAGGGGCGAATCACTACCCAAAATTCGTACACCTACTTCAAATTAGTACGAAGTACTTGATGCATTTCAAAATACTTCGAAGCACTTCAAATTCTCTAATTTGTAAGTTATTTGAAAATATAATAGTAATGAGGTATTAGCACTCCAGAATCCAAATCCAAGGGAACTATACTTAGGAGCATATCAAATAGAAGAGGGATATTTACCTAACTTGAAGCCACTTCAAATCCTACACACTTCCTTGAGAAGATAGGATTGGAAGGCTCGGTATAGTCATCGAAACATTTCCTTGCTGCATTAGCAACAGCAAGGGGCACAATAGATCTTTTAGGTTGCAGTGTATTAGCACCCCATTTCCAACATAATATAACTTTATGAGGTGCATGAGCTAATGTTTATGATGACACATTTAAAATAATGTGAAATAGGTAATTATTCCTTGAAATTAGATGACACATTAGTTACTTTGTTAAATAAATGTAGTTGTTCCTAAAAATGTTCATTCATGTATTTAGATTTTTAAATGAACACTCTGTATAATTTTATATATTTTGATTCTACAGGATAAAATTAGTACAGCCAGGTTGCTAAATGTTAATTTTTTTAAATTTTTTTCTGTCCTTTTCTTAATGCATTATAATTTTAATAGAAAATCATTGTAACACATCGTTGAAATGATAATTTAATATGCTATCTAATGATATAAACGGACCCATATCGTTTTCACTCAAAAAAATTCAATTATGATTGAAAAACTAGCGTAAAATACAAAAGTGTGTCATCAGGACTTCATTTGTAACACCCTGTATCTCGGAAAAGAAGCGTTTTCGGACCTATGTTTATATGAACTATTGCTCCTATTTTAGGATGTAGATTATGCTGTTAAAATATGACCGTCTAATTTCGGGACACCCTGTATACTAGGAATTATCAAATTAAGAAAAGAAATCTAGCTGTTTTAGTTTTTTTTTCTAAAAAGTACATAATACTATCCTTCCAGTACCGGTTCTTTAGTTTAAATTCCTTTAAATTGTAACCATATACTCTTAAAATTGGTTCCAACAAGCAATACCAGTGATACACACGATACAGAAGTGACTCCAATCGAACGTATTACCGGTGGTACAACAGGACAAAATCCTGAAATTTGTCTTGAACGCCAACGTGTTAAGTTAGAATAACAATTTTTTTTGGAAAAAGAACATCTTTACTAATTTTGTTCGGTAAAATCTGAACATATAAAAATATAAAGGGTATTTCATTTAAAAATCTAAATTTGAGGACATTTCGTGTGAAACCGGAAGCCGGCCATTTTAATTATGCATGAGTTATTTATACCAAATTTCACGAAAAGCTATAAGCGTGGCCCACCTGTGTCACCCTGTGTAGGTACTGATTAAGACTACTGAAAATAATTAAAGTACAATCATATAAAAAGCACAATGGATGAGGAAAGTTATTTATACACGTTGTTTGTAAATAAGTACAAAAGATTTTAGGGGGTGGTTGCCGAAGTTATTTTGTTGAATCAAAACGAGAAATTGATCGAAAAACATTTGATCGAATTGTAAATTTGATCGAAAATACATTTTATCGAATGGTATTTGATCATAAATGCATTTGATCGAATAGCATTTGATAGAAAATATATTTTATCGAACAACAGGGCTTACACCGGCACGGATATCTACGTTGTTTATTATAAGCGCTCATCGCTTACACATTTATTCATTAATAAAATAAAGTTGTATCTGCATAAAATCCTTCTCTTTATCCACTCTCTTACTTCTCACCTTTCGTCTCCTCGCTGCGGGCCTACAAATATAGCGTATTGATTGTCGAATTAATCTTGGCATCATGAATGTTATATTTTATCAATGAATGGTTATATCTCTGTTATCTCTGATCTATAAAAATGAGCATGGTCCTCTTAGTTTATAGACCTGTACAGGTCCGGAACAACCCAACACTGATGAACATTGAGTTGCCTATTCTCTTCGGCATAATGGATGAGTCCAATTTAATTAATTATTATTCATTTTTGTTTCAGATGCAACTGAGATCAACAGGACTTCCGGACGCTCAAGTCGTTGAAATTTGCGCAGCTCTGGCCGTTCTAGCCAAGTATGGAGTCATTTCCGTAGGATTAGGTAATAATATAATGTTTAATAATTTATTTAGATAAATTGTATATGTGAATGTCGGTCCATAGCGGCCGTTGTGTTGAGTAAAATTCTTTGTTACGTTGTGTTTTATTTTATCAAAGTTTTATTTAAAACGTTGTAGTATTTCGGATGTTTGTTGATTTGATAGTTCCAAATTTTAAAGTTGTCAGGGAGTTGTTGGTTCTTTATCCATTTTTACATAACTTACTGTCATTTCATTGTTAATGCGTATTTATTAAACCATCACTCCGCATTTGTTCGTTTTATTTATTTTTGTTTTGTATATCTTTTCTTTAGGGGAAACGGACAGATAGTTGTTGGCAGTATCCGATCAGCTTTTCTTCTAGAGGACACTACATTAGATGTCTTCATTAGCTTTCATTATTCATAAAACGCATGCATCAATCATTTTGTATTATTAATTTGAGAAGATTATAATTGAAAAATATAAATATTAAAATAATTTGTTTATATTAATACCTATATTTTAAACCAAATTCCACTAGTACCTACTTTTGCTACTAGAATAAAAACAAACAATGTACTTATTCGGATATATTTAAACAACGCAAAATAACTAATTATTGATATCTTATAAAATAAATAGAAATAAAATTAATTTACAAATTGGTGTCGATTATAATAATAAAAGAAAAATGGTTTATTTATACAAACATGCAAAAATATTTCAATTTTATTCTTTATGAAAAATTCTTTAGTCACATTGATTAGATAGATTTTTAATGAATTAAAAAACGAGACAAATAAAACTCATAATCTATCCCTCATTTTTATTAAACAATATGTTTGACAGATTTTGAGTTTTATTTGTCTCATCGAAGATGACCATATTTGAGAGGTTGGATTCCCTTTTGAGTTTAAATTGAAAATGTAAATTCATTAAAGGAAAAACAAAACTCAATTCAATTTTTAAATATTTAATAAAATTAATTGTATCAGAAATATATTTATTACTCTCGTAAAGAATTGTACAGTAAAGGTGAAAAGGCAACCAGCAATATCTAAATTTTTTATTGTAATAGATAACAGTGAAGTGAAATTTTGTTTATTTGATGAGGCTGAAGTTTTGATTTATTGGTTTTAAAGGTATAATCGCGTTAATTCACATATATAGGCCATTTTGTTACTTTTTAAATGATTTTAGAATTCAGTTACCAAATGTCGCTTAATGTCTTTCTTGAAATGTAGTTAGAAAATAATTCCTTTTTACCTACCATGTTTGCTATACAGTTCGTTAACCGACGCATCAGGCAACAAAAAAGTAATTGGTTTAACCACGCCCTTTTGATGGCAAGCATGGGATATTGCGGTCCCCACTCAGCGACGGTATTATTCTATTTCATGGAGTCAGGATTGAAAAATATGTATATGAAAGTTTGTTCATCGATTTTTATATTCAATATTAAAGATGTCCCTACCCGAAAAATATCTTCAAGCCTAATTTATTATATCTTCTTGTTCTTGTTACTTTACGGATCACTTTTGGCATTTTGAATTTATTAGTGATTCTTATTGAATTACAATAATTAGTTAAAACGATCCAGTATTCATAAATTTTATGATTCTGAGGTTATTTGTTTTGCATCTTTTTTCTGCTGGCCTCTGTATTATATGCAATTTATTAATAAAACATTTTTTTCTAATTTTGTAATCGCAGCAAGTGTCAAAATGTTCTACTTTACGCATAATGTTCAAAATTTATTAATTTCTTGAAATCTAAATAACTTTAACAATCAATATAAACTCATATAAGTAGGAGAATAAATAAATAAGATGTTCTATTTGTCAATAAAAGAATGATGTCAGTAAGTTTTTACCTTAGATTACGTATAAAGAGAGGACTCGTAACGTCGCAGTAAATCGTGTTCCATTCTGACACCAATGCTGTTTGTCCAGAGGCGTAACTGAATAAAACAATGCACTTTTATTTATGTTACTAGTACTTTATTGATATTTCTAGGTATAAAGCAAGTTTAAAGCATAAAAATTAAAATAAATGAGAAACATTAAATAAGATATAAGAAAAAAATATATATATATCGGGACGGGACGGAGCCTGGTGGGTAAACTACAAACGATATTAAAAATTCTTTGGTACAAATATACAACTCAACGGTGGCTACAAATTAAAATTAGTTTCATAAAGTTATGTTTTTAAATGGGACACCCACCCTATAAAGATTTCCTATTCATATCTTTGATAAATACCCGATTTATTTGACATTTTTCGAAAATGTGCTGTCGAAATTAATCAATTACTTTTGATTACAAAATAACGAATTTTTGGCAGTTCCTTACAAAATGTAACTTTTTATTAGAATCATTAAAATATTCAAAAATTGTACGGGGTGTTTGCAATTTGAAGTTTTATTGCAGTAAAATGATTTATTTCATTTCTGCGTTAATTTAAATGGAACACCCTGTATTTTATGGTACCAATATGAAGGAAATTTTATTTACGTTAAAAGTTCTATAAAGTTCCCTATACACATATCTACTATTTTTAAAACTACATATTATCAATAGTTTCAATGAATCAATAAATTTCAAACATCTACTGATAGTTTTATTTTAACAAAGCTATTAAATACACATTTATTCCAAGTGCAAGCAGCCGGCTTGTGGACAAATGGGCTTCTGTCGAATTTCCTGAATTTTTGATATGTTATAGTTGTCGACTTGCTGAACAGTAGTGTCCTAATCTTTCATTAACTGGTTTTATAACTCATATCTCAAAAACTAATTACAGTAAGTTCATATAAATTTAACACTTTATTGACATAGGTACTCAAAATAAATCAAGTGTAAAAAAATTACGCAAATTAACAGTCGACATTTTTAAATATAGGGTGAGACATGAAAACCCCCTTTTTACTAATTTTTCTCTTTAAATATATTTTGAATTATACAGTATAGGGGTTATAAATTATACTAATTTTAAAATGGTTTGATGTATATTATTAAAACACGATATTAAATATGTAAAATTTTATTAAAAAGAGCATACAGGGTCTACCAATTTTTTGACTCACAGTGTATAGAATGTAATAGTTCCTAATTTTGATTATTTAATCGAAGGCTATTATAGCGTGATATTCACTTTAAAATATGCTAAAGTAAAAATTAAAATTCGATTTTCAGTCATTTATGACTCACCCTGTAATTAATAATAGTTTACGTCATTTGTTATGCTGAAAATATTGTTTAATATCAGTAAAGCATTATTTTCGAAAAATATCTGTAATCATAAAAGTATCTTACGTCCTTTTTAAAAAATGGCCAATTTTAAAGTTCAAGGCACTGTATATCAAAAATTAGTCATAGGATGGAGTTGTGCCCATCGACACTATTGCACAGAAAGTTATTGACAACTACAACATATCAAAAATTCAGGAAATTCGACAAAAGCCTATTTGCCTATAAGCCGGCTGCCTAAATTTAAAATAAATGTTGATGTCCATTATTGTCAATGCATAATAATATTCTGATTCGCTATTCAAAATTATTTTTTACATTTAAGGACCGATCTGTTCACCTCGTGAGTAAAATTACAGGTAGGTTTACTTAACAGATTAATAAACAATAGCCCTATAGTTTAATCAGCAAGTAGTTACTTTCAACTTTACTCAGAGGTGAAAAAACTGGACCTTAATTTTTTAATTAATAATAGCAAAACATTATTGATAATAAACTACACAAATTGAAAAAATAATACATGGTTAAGATATTAAAAAAGTGCTAATAATAATTTATTCATTAGGAAAATAGAAACACAAGCTTCATTAAAACTATAAAAATAAAATTATAAATAACTTTTATCATTAATACTCGTCATTTGACATTGGTTCTAATAGGAACATATTAAAATTTGTATAATTTTACGATATATTTACTGGCAAACTTGCATTTTTATTCATTTAATTGCGAATTTCCTGGCCTACTCTTCTGGCCATTGTCTCTTTAGTATTCTTTCTGTTGAACTGCACACCCATTACTCTAAGCTGTATGACTAGATGATTGATGGTGTCCAAGAACGCTTCCCTGTGGAATACCCATATAAAAATTGATTTTTCCTGAAGATTTCAATTTCATATCGTTTTTCTTTCTGATGATTTTTTTTCAATGTTTCAACTTATCCCCCGTTTTTATTCAGATTTTTTTCAGTATCAATGGGCTTCATTCCCTTAAAGAGCATGATTTTTACTAAAAAATTTCATATCTCTTACCTACTTTTTTTTTTTTAAATTTCAACCCCTCTTAAACCATCCTATCTTAACCGACTTCAAAAAAAGGAGGAGATTCTCAATTCGTCGGAATATTTTTTTTATGTCTTTTCAGCAATAATTTTGTCCGATTTTTGATTTTTTTTTGTTAGAAATTGGTTAGGATTTTTTTTTTAATTACTTTTATAACTTGTTAGATTTTTTCAAAATCAATGGAGTTCTTCCCCTTTATAGGTCTTGATTTTTGCTAAAAATTTCATGTTGATATCATTTTTCGTTTTTGAGTTTTTTTATATATATAACCCCCACTTCACCCTCCAATTTATTCAAATTTTTCCAGAATCAATAGGCTTCATCTTCTTATAGAGCTTGATTTTTACTAAACATTTCGATTTGATATCTTTTTTCGTTTTTGATTTATTATTTATTTTTAATTTCAATCCCTTTTAACCCGCCATTTTTAATCAGATTTTTTCAAAATCAGTACCCTTCGTCCCCTTATTCATTTTTTCTGAAATTTTTAAGATATCATTTTCCGTTTGTGACTTATCGTGCGGACAAAAAACGTCACATCGGACGGACGGATAACTATAAACGCATAATACTCTGCACGTTGTACCCACCTAAAGATAGGATGTTGCGCATCGTGAACGGTCTTTATTTTGACGTGCCAATGAAAATCACTCATGCGCGTGGCAGTCGAAAACCGAACACGAAGCATCCGGTCCTGGTGAAATGCCT